AAATATTTATTGAAACTTCAAGAAAATTTTTTATATATATCATTTTTTTAATCTATTAAGAAGTTTATGTGTTATAATTGTTAAAGAAATTTTTGGCATTCAAGCGAATGTTACACACACTAATTAAAAAAAGAGAAAGGATTTGCACACTGACTGTTATGCCTGAAAAATCAATTGTGTAATACATATCACATACCACAGAATAAAATCGAAGGTTATGGAACTTCTGCATGCATGATGTAGTTGTATGACCTGCTGATTGTTATGTTTGCCATATCATAAATCCTCGTGGTGTATACTAAAAAAATTTTTTCAGTTTTTAGAACATACCCAAAAACAATGACTGAATCATATGTTGGAAACAATGGTAAGCTCGTTAAGCATTCGAATTTTGCAGACTTATTCTTGGTGATAAACTGATCCTCTTTATTGGATTTCTTAGCTGTTCTAAAATATTTTGAAACTCACAATAGAAAAACATGGAATTATGAACATTTTTTAAATGAATTAAAAGAAATAATCATCAATTCACCACCATATACTGAAGACTGGAGCGGTTTAGATGGTAGATGGTATAATAGGTATATTTATCATGCCAAGGTATAAATTTTATAACTCCCATCAGGTGTAAGGGTGCTTCTGGGTTGTAGTTGCATCTTATGATACAGTACGATCCAGAGGTTTTACTGAAGTTTTCGGTGCCCAAGTGATGAGTATGATGCGCTTCTGGGTTGTAGTTATATTTTATGATATATAGTATGATCTGGTGGTTTTGCTGAAGTTTTCGGTGCTCTCTCATTGCGATTCGTGTGCCCAAGTGATGATTATGATGCACTTCTGGGTTGTAGTTATATTTTATGATATAGTACATTCCAGAGGTTTTGCGGTGCGATTCGTTAACAGGGTAAAGATAATAAACGTCAGCAAATGAAATCATTTTTTCAAGATATTATTCTTGAACGTGAAAAGGTTAGTATAATTTGTGGCATTATAATATTAGTATTTTTTAACACAGAACTATTATCAAAAATAATTCTTTATTGATACTAACTATGTTCCATCTCTATTTAACCCTGCCAAAAATAGAGAAATGCCGGGAAAAATTATATAATAGAAGGCGTCAAAGTTCTTAATGAAGCAAGGTTCTCCAGTTCCGATGAAATTGTTTCCATTATAAATAAACAGCATCTCCAAATCGAAAAAGTAAATAATGAACCACCATGAACTCCCAAACATCAAATATACCAATGCCAACAAAATCAACGTCGAATGAGAACTGGAAAAAAAGTAGATGATTTTTATGAATTAGCCTCCAATTTATCTGAAGACAATTACAACAAAGATAATGAAGAAAATAAAAAGGTAAGTTTTTTCGTAAATTTTAGTTCTTGATATTTGACAAAATTAACACATAACCACGTAGATGGGTCTGTTCCCCCTCATTGAGGAACACTGACAGATGATTGAGCAGACATTTAATGGTATGAAAAAGGAGAAAATGTGGAGACTTTCAACTGGAAAATATGTCGAGGAAGAATTATTCAATTTGAGCAGTCAGTGTTTATATGAGTGAATTTTCGGTAACTGTATTATGGAAAACAAAATTGTACTAAATTGCTGTTTTTATTTCCAAGTGCCATTCATTCCTTTATTTTGAATGTCGATGACAGGATAATCCACCAACATTTCAGCGAGGCAGAACTAGATGAAATTGATTGTGCCCCTGGCCCACAGGTACCCGAGCTCTCAGAAGAAATCACTGGATTTCTAAACAAATTCGCTGGCAAGGTAATACTTCATTTATATGTTACTGACAAGGATATATGTACCACGACAATTTATCAATCTCTTTTCCTTTTGTAGACGAGCTTGAAGGAGATTCAAAAGCTCATAAAGGAAATGATGTTTGATGATAATTATGATCATGAAAAAGATCATGATAAGGATTACATAATATATGCTTTATATTCATTGTAAGTATTTCTGTGGCTTGCACATGGTGTAGATATTATTATAGTCCTTTGGATGCATCAATGGTGAATTGACTAAATCTGTTTTTATAGAGTGAGAGAAATTCAAAGCGGAAGCTTGAAAGATGCAAATCTTGAAGCTTGGTTTAATTGCCACGTGTGGAACACGGTCTTTGATCAAGCCTTTGGAGATGTAAATGCGATATCCGTCATCAGGTAACTTTCTAAAAAAAATATAGTTTGCTTTGATATATCTAACAGGTTTCTTTTAACAATTTAGAGGGGAAAGTACAAGCTTGGCATCGGCATCACGAAAAAATATAAAAAGACTGTCAGGAGAATGGCGGAAAATGGGTTGCAGGATTGATTTGATCTTGAGATCTATTAGTACCATAAAGTCTGGAAAGATAGCACCCCCTACTTTAAAACAATTGAGCATCAATATAAAAAAATTGTTACACATATGTAAAAAGGGGATGCTATCTTTCCAGACTTTACGGTAATGGCGATAGAGATGAGTTCGGAGCTGGGGAAGCCGGAAAAAGTTGGGTGGATAAAAATGGAACGAAGTTTCTCAAGGAGACAGGATTAAAGCTACCTAAGACACTTAAGGATATGTTAGTAAAATTGATAGAGAAGGCAGGTTGGGATGAAGAAAGTCGTGCAAAAATTCAAACGGTTGGAATAATTCATGCTGGTATGTTGTCTTTAAGAATCCATCAGGTTCTCGCTGTTAGCTAATATAATTTTATAGGTTTGATGATTATGATAGTCTGCCTGGACAACCCAAAAGGCTACATCTGTAGGGTGCAATGTGGTGAAATAATGGAAGTTCTGGATAAGGCAGAAAATTTCCTTGCATCCTCACAATTCTCGCATCTGTTCTGATCATAAAGGTTAGTTAGATTCATGCTTTTCACCTAACGATTATATATCTGTACTAATATAAGCTGATGTGTTTATGAATGTTAGGCTGTGGTTCAAGAGATAATAAAGACGGTTCAAGCAAAAAAACAAACAGTCAAATCATTTAAAAGGGCCGGGTTTCGAAAACGACCTCTAGACAAAAATGAGGACCGAATATCTCCGTGTTTATCAACTCCGAAGAAGGCTAAAGTATGTGCAGAAGCATATACCAGGGTTGGCAAATTGACTGGTCCATTGAGAACAGATGGATTTTGGACTGGTCCATTACCATTAATAAAATACTAAATATGGTTAAATTGTTACACTAATGGACCTAATGGACCACCAATAGACCATCAATGGACCACACATTTGCCAACCCTGGCATATACCGAGAAATCATATCCATCATCCCCGTGTCCTGAGTCATCATCGCAACGATCTGATTTATTCTCATACTTGGAATAGATTTGGAATGTAACATTTCTCGCATATCATAACATTTTGTAATAACAATAAAAAATAAATCTAATATCATGGAAATGATTTCCGTATAATACGGAGGAGAGCAAAGTCTGATTATCACGCGTTATTTATCGGCACATGATCTTGCACATAATTTACAACAATTACTTTTAACACAACTTTTGCCAATTGGTCATAATACCTTACGTTTGCACTTAAATAATTATCAAAAGTTAAACAAAAATATTTACAGGTAACAAAAACCAAAAATCAAACTTTTGCCTAATACCAAACCCTCTATTCCACTCTGATAACCAAACAGACAATTAAACTATACTGTTTAATTAAACAAAAAAGAATTGAATATATATTCCCCATAAAAAAAATAATACATTATTTGAATTTTAATTGCAGAAACACTCACTATCATGAAAATTTGCAATAGCGGGAAAAGTCCATCTTTTCACCTGTAGTCTTTCCGTGATTTTTCATTAACATTAATAACAAATGTTTATTTATTCGAACTTTGTCCATTTCATTAAAATTAATAATAAATGTTGAGTTATTTATCCGAACTTTATCCATTTTATTAATTTATTTATTCATTAGTAATTCAATTATTTATCCGAACTTTATCCATTCCATTTTATTAATTAATCTATTCAATAAATGCTCAGTCATTTATTCGAACTTTATCCATTTTATTAATTTAATTTATTCAGTAAAATTATTCAGTTATTCATCCAAACTTTACCCATTTTATTAATTAAATGCATACATGTTTTTCAGTAAAGCCTCCATTTCTTACGAAAAATGGAATTGTAGATTCCATGAATATGATACATTTATTATTATTATTTTGGGAAAACACGGAAATGTAATGTATATTAATATAAAAAAAACCGAGATTAATAATGGGAAAAACACTGAGACTAATCACGGAATAAATTTTTTGGAAATGAAATATATCTGATGATGTCAATTGATTAGCCGGCTAATCTGTTTAAGTCAGTTAAGTCATTTATTACCCGATTAATTTGTTTGGGACCGTTTATTAGCCGGTTAAACCATTTATTAGCTGGCTAAGCTATTTAAATCAGTTTGGTTAGTATTAAATATTAATGAAATGAGTTGTCGGATAACGTCTTGTCAGAGAAACGATTGTCGGGTAACGTTCGCAAATAATGATTTAAATTATAACCCAAATGATTTGATTTCTATGACTGGGAAATGAAAATAATAATACGTTAGATATTGAACTGAATTTGGAAAAGACGACCTTCGTTTAGAAAACGTTAGACCCTATTAATATGAAATAAATATAATCCATTACTTTGAATTTTAATTCTAGAAATACTCGTGAAAATTTCCACGAATTTGCAACAGTGGCAAAGTCTGCCTTTTCCCCTATAACCTTTCCGTAATTTTCTAGCATGAATTTCTGGAGTTTTAAATCATGGATCGGTTTGATTTCAGGGAAAAAGATGTGTTTATAAATGGAAGTGGAAGTTTACAAATTGAAAATAATTTTGATAACAGAGTCAATCATTACTTGGAAAGTAAAGATTGTAATTAGGATAATAACGTAAAAAAAAATTATTATGTCATCTTTTACTTTTAATGAAATAGTTTCTCAAATTCAAATCTACTTCATCAAATTTGGTGGAATTAATGGTTTCAAACAAAATAAAGCAAGTTGTAAATATTGCAGCCATGAATTAAATCAAGCTGTTCAAAGATGTGGTGCAATATTTTTTATATAGTATTAGGGATGTATGTAACTCTGTATCAACAATCACCATTTGGTCCAAAGTTTTCTCCAAATACGAATTTGACATCATCATGATGATGAAAGTGATGGTATTTATGTAAGCATTGGGATAGAAAGAAATGAAGAAAAAGGTAGCTATAGTGATGTTAGATGTTTATTTTAATTTTTATGAATATTTTTCCCCCCAAGAAATGCACGCGCATGAAATGAATTTCCCATCTCTAATGTTAACCAATCAAAAATAGGCTTTATGCCATGCTCTATTATTAATATTAATCGTTAACAAAATAATTAACCGTAAGCGAAGCCATTTAACCATATTTTCATTATTTTTCTAAAAAAATAAAACAGGAATTCACAGTGGAGTGGCAATTTCCCAACACTAACTAGTTGAACGCCTTTAAATATTAAAACAAAAATTTTTTATTACATTACAAAATATTAACCAATAAATTTTATCATGAATTATGAATTATGAATTATGAATTATGCGAATTATAATTGCTTAAGTTTGACATTTAAAAATCTTAAAATCTTAAGTATATAAAATAAATGAATTAAGGGTATGCTACAGTGGCTATACCTGATTCACACAGTAAAGTTGTACCATCCGAACCGACAACTAAATAATCAAATAACAACATTAGCAAATATTTATTAGAGTCAAGCAAAATTAATAAAACAATACGAGATAACTTACGAGTCGATTTTATGAGATATTGCTCAGTTTCATTAACAGGTTGGGTAGGACTAACAGGGAACACATATTCGAGTGTAAAATCGAGATGTCCTGCCGGAATTGGACAATCTATATCAGGAGGTTTCGAGTTGCTTTCACAATAATCCTCCTCATGTGTTAATATTGCTGTGCCATCAAGCAAGGAAACACTCAGGACAAAAGTGGTTGTTGGTTCAATTTCGACAGTGCTATCCCATACAATGTGTTCGGTGGTCTTTTCACCAGGTACAAATATTGACGGAGTGTATGTATCCTCAATAATAGTGATGGGGAAATCACCATCACACTGAGTAAACATACCAACTTCGGGTGCTCTTTTTCTAAAATCACTATAGGAAAACGAATTGATTATTGTTGTAAATAATGTCAAGAACAAGAACAAGTAAATATTATTATTATTAATTGCGTACATTTTGATTGATTATAGTTTTGATTTAAATATTTTTATTTTATGATTTTGTTTTGTACCAAATTCTTTCTTTATTTATATGAAAAAATCAATACAAGATTTCTTATATCAGCATTGGAGTTTAACAAAGCAAAGAATCCTAAAGACTCGTATGCGTCCATATGCGTATATTAACGATACATCAGTGTTCCTTCGAAGGTCAATTATTTCATTTACCGGTTGGTAGATATTCCGTACCAGTGCTAGTACATTTTCATATTTTTATTATTATACACAAAATTTGATTGTGTGTGTTAAGTACCATATGTACTATATATACTGTTTCAAAAAATTTTCATGTGCAAAGCATTATTTAGTACGAAAAATTTCCTTTCAAAGATCTTGAATTAAAACGTCGAACAAATCGGATCCTTCTCGCAAACAAAAAAACCTCGGCCTATTAATATTAATATCAAGAAAAAATGTATCAAAATCTCCCAATTTATACTTTTTTTTTGTGCACCAAATTTGATTCATAATTTTTGGATGTAAAATAATGGCTTTATATCTATTTTTGAGCAATAAGTCTTGCACTTTTCATTTACGAAACAAACAACGACTAACCCTCCCCATATGAAAGCTGCATATTCTCACCAATTTTTAAGACAACAAAAACCTTGCTTTAAAGTAAAAACGTAATGCCATTTTTGAGTAGCCGTAACTTTACATAGGTAGTAGTAGAGGAGATGTTGGAACCGACCAAAAAACCTTAACCGGTTAATTGATAAATTTTTTTTCTGAAAAATATTTATTCGTCAAAAAAAGTTAAGCGGAAATTGATATTAAAATAAAAAATTGTGCAACTATCAAAAAATAATAAACAATTCTTACGTCTACTCATTATAAACCAACTGTTAAATTATCTTTTAATAAATTATTATATTTTTTAAATATAGTAATAATAATAAAATTAAGAATACTAAAGCAAATATACGACAATTATGATATGATAATTTACTAAGCTACAATGATTCAAAGGCTTCAATAGGTAGTAGATAAATTTAGTTGTATTTTATATTTACTCTTAATGTGAATATGGCTTCATTTTACCTACTTACTAATAAGCCTTTAGACTATATGATAAAAATACTAAGGATATTATTAGCTTATCGGTATGCCAATACCTTAATTATTTTTTTAAAGAATATTGGTCAGATCAGATTCTGAAATCTGATTGACACCTCATTACCCAATTTGGCATCATTCGACCAGTAAAAAAAGAACCAATAGATTATATATAAGTAAAGAAAGATGGGACCTTTAATTAGCGCAAAAGAATATTAAATCATACACAAACATAACAGTTTGGTAGCTTGATTGACATACATAGTGGTGCAGCCTTGCGATTATTTTATTGTATATTTTAATATAATTAATTATATGTCTTTAATAAAACAAACATGACTTGGCTATTTAATCATCCACCAAATATTCATGATGGTCATGATCATTATACAATACATTTGATATCATCATTGACATAACCAAAACAATTGCGTCACCCAGGTAGTAATAACACCAAGACCATGCATAAATGAAATTTTTAATAATGCCTGTCTATCCAGGTCTCTGAGGTTCACAATAATAAATTATTTTCCCTGATTATCAGTTATGGTTCCTTATGAATAATAAATCTGATGTTGATCACAGATGTCAGATTTAATTAAAATTTTCCTGTCACCAACATGCAAGCGCCTATGTAATTAAACATTAGTCAACACTGTAGAATTTTTTTTTCACAGAAGAAAGGACTTGAACATGTTGGAAGGCTTTAGACAAAACTTCCCTATCTTCCTCCCAGACCAGACTTGGCTGTTACCATATGGGCATTGATTGCTGATATCTGGTGTTTGTGTATGCTTGCTTTGTGTTATACCACTCTAAAATAAAGTCAGTGTCTGTAACTGGCTGAAAATTCTTCAATTCAGAAGGTTGCAACCTAGGTTGCTGTCTTGAATTTTCCCTGAATTCGGAGTTTTGAGTCCTGAGTTGCTGTCTTGTCAATAACACGCCTACTCATAAACAACCCTACCCCCATTTAAACAACAAGTTCAGTTGGTCAAATAAGAATTAAAGAGAAACAGAAATATGAAATGATTAATTTATGACATACCAAGCAAATCTGAACCATTTTATTTACAGCATTATCCCTGATGCCAGTGATTATGGTGACTCTCACAATAGGAGTGAGTAGAATCGAACTGCAATATTTATACTTGTGAGATACATGCTTTCATTCAGCTGCACTCCTTTATCCAGGGTGGATTATATGGGCAAAAGTCCCCATTTAAAAAATAACAAGTTCAATTGGCCAATAAAAATCAAAAGAAAAAGAAAATTTATGTGAATGATTAATTTATAACATAACATACCAAAACCCAAACCATTTTATGCCTTTTTCTTGTTGGCCATATTGCTAAAAAAGATATATATAATCATGTGATAATTTTAATCTATAGGACAGGGGACTGATTAGGCAAAAACCCATTCAGTCCCTTACCCAAAATTATAAAATTAGTCAGTATCAAAAAACAGAGAATTTATGAAAATGATTATACAAAACAAACACTATTTTATAACTTTCCTCTTAACATTAGAGTCCAAATACAATCCCAGGGTCACCAATTCTGCTCTGAATTACAACCTCCTGTTTAAACGAGTTGCAGATTCTTGTTGCTTTGGTGGACCTGGATGTTTACATGACACTACAATTCATCAACAGAGTTGCAACAGCTTGGTCACAGAGCCATCTTTACCCTAGAGGTAGGATTATTGCAAGCAACTTTTCGGCTAGCGTGCCAGCAACCTTCACTGTTCTGGGAAGATTAGTGAAAGCGTCATTGACAATTGATGCAGACTGGTAAACTCCAGATCCACGCGCCTTCTGGAATTCAATTGCATCATCATATCTTCAGGTCACCAGGTCAATATAGCCTTGTGTACACAAGGAATGTGTGAATGTCTGTAAATGTGTTCAAGGTAGCGTGCGTGCTTCAACGTTTGCCAATTTCCAATAATCAAACATCACATATCGAAATGTTTCTTTTTCAATAGTCAATGCTGCCTTGACATCTTGTAATTATTTATTATTATTATTTAATATTAATATTAATAATGATTACGTAAAGCAAAATACACAATCTTGATAAGAATCTTATAATTGCTCGGCAATTATCTGCCCACGTTTTGATTTCAATTAAAATATTTATAATAATCAACCAAAAAACACAATGCAAATTAAAAAAAGGTACCTCTGGTTGGTTATCAACATGTATTCTTTAGGAGACTCACGTTTTGCCATCTTTGAAAAATAAATTGTTTTTCCAAGAAAAAAAAATCAATCAATCAATTCGCATCAACAAAAAAAAACCAATAGGTTCCATACATGCACACGTTTGTCACTCAAATAAAATTTCTAATTTTTTTTTTTCTCTTCAAAAAATTAAATGCCATCTAAAAGAATCAGAACTAAAAGAAAAAGTCAAAATGATGCCATAGAAATGAGGAGTAAGTGTTTATCATAAGGATGGTGGTGGTGGTTATCGCTACTTGTTGTCACACTCTAGTTATCCAATCAATTTCTAATAGAAATTCCCTTTCAATAGAATGATTTATTTTAATAAAAAAACGCGTTGTTACATAAAAACCTCTCGAACCAGTTACTATTAAAGTTTATAGAAAAATACCTCCACTTAAGAACAGCCTCTTTATAAGAGTATTTTAGAAAAAGTTACTATGTTCCCAACTGGGTTCTTATGTGGAGGTATGACTGCAATGTATAACGGACACTTGATCTTCAATGTTCAGTGACAATAACGCGTCATAAGGAACGTTTCGCGATTTTATGTTAATTTCTGCGTCGTTTAGGAACATACTATAAACAATTTAATCGAAATGCGCAAGTGATATTTTATTTTTACAAAAACCTCATTTTTAAATAATTTAAATGGTTTTAAATTTAATATTAATATCACCATTTACTTGTGTCATTAAGAGATAATAATTTTAATTAACCTTTTCCTGCTCTATAATGTCCTGGATCTCGTACATAAAAATTTATTACTCATCATATCATCATTATATGCATGTAATAATAATATATGTAAATAATATCATTCGTATTCATCTTACCGATTTTTGTCTTCTAACCGGTTAAGTATATAAATTTTTTTGTCAAAAAAATTTAAGCGGAGATTAACTTTAATCAAATCAAAATCACACACAGTAATTTTTAATAATTCCTCATAAATATATATTACTATTAAAATTTCCTGTATTTTATAAAAAATGCTAGTATGATATTTGATGATTCTTTTTAAATATTTAACAATTTTTATGTCTGCTCATTATGAATCGACTATGATGACAGTAAATTACTAAATTACTAGATTACACTGCTTCAAAGATTTCAATAGGTAGTAAATCATGTATCTCATTTTACTACTCTCATTCTCTTGCATTTAGCCGATAATGTAAGTATGGCTTCATTTCACTTATTGAAACAAAGATTTACAATTAAAAATCACTCAGAATTCTGGCTATTAATTAATTTTCTTGTTATTAACCCCGCATTTTACTATTTCCATTTATCACAGATTATGAATTAAGTGTGATCGGGTTAATGGAATACTTTGACCGGTTCCAACATCTACTTCTCTCTGCTTCTTTGTTATTATTTGGATTGCAATTCTTAATTTTATTTATGTAACAGGAATTATTTTTTTTCTCTTGTAGTTGTTTGTTACTTGAAAAATAAAGAGATTGAGGATGACGTTGACATAATAGTAAACAATGATAATTGTAATTTGAGCAATATATCAAAAAAGAAAGAAAGTCAAAGCTTACATTAAAACAACATAATTTACGTAGAAGAAACGTTATAATGAATAAAATTATAAATAAGATAACATAAACAAATTTATTTCCCAATCACTTTGATTTTGATTTTCGTCAAGGGTTTTAATCATTCGTCATTTTTTAGTGCATAGTCTCTAACTTCGAAAACATATCGTCATATATACAGCATTAGTCTCTGGTAAATTTTATCCACGTTATTTCAAAAAAAAAAGAAAATTTTTTAAAAAATATATATATACTGTATTATTAATATCATTATCGTCATAACAATAATAAAGGTGGTGGGTGCTTTTAATAAATGACAATGTCAAATATTTGGTCACATTGGAAGAAATTAAATCAAGCTGTTGGAAGATGCAGAATGCATTTCCCATGCATTTTTCACATGTTCTCTTGCAAGATTTTTCATAACAATAGTAATGGGGATGTGACTCTGTATCAATCTCCATTCTACAACCACAATTTGGTCCAAAGTTTCCTCCAAATACAAATTTGATATCATTATGATGATGAAAGTGATAACGATCATGATAGCAAAAGTGTTGACGTAAGCATTGGGATAGAAAGAAATGAAGAAAAGAGTAGTTTGGATGCTTATATTGATTTTATAGATACAATATTATTTTTTTCTTAAAAATGCATAATGAAATTTTGAATTTTTCTATCTAGCGTTAACCAATCAAAAATTGGTTTTATATCATTCGATCGTACTCTGTTATCATTGAACTGTTGTTTTATATCAATCGTTAACAAAGTAATTGACCGTGAGCGAAACAATTTAACCATGAATATAATATATTTTCTAAAAAATAAAACAGTAAAGTGAGAATTTCCCAATATTGACTGGTTGAACGCCTTTAAATATTAAAACAAATAATCAGCTTTATCTGCTTGTGAATCATGAATTATTTAACTTTGACATTTAAAAATTAAAAAAATTTACATTAAAATATTAAATATATGAATCAAGGGTATGCTACAGTGGCTACACCTGTTTCACACAATAAAGTTCTATTATCTGGGCTGATAACTAAATAATCAAATAACAACATTAGCAAATATTTATTAGAGTCAAGCAAAATTAATAAAACAACATGAGATAACTTACGAGTCATGTTTACGATATATTTTATAGTTTTATCCACAGGTTGGTCAGGACTAGTAGGGAATACATAATCAATTGTAAAGTCGAGGTGTCCTGCCGGAATTGGACAATCTATATCAGGGGGTTTTGACTCACTTTTACAATAATCCTCTTTACTTGTAAATTTTGGTACTGGTGTACCATCAAGTAAGGTGACAGTCATGACAAGAGTGCTTTTTGGTTCAATTTCGACAGTGCTATCCAATACAATGTGTTCGATGGTCTTTTTACCAGGTACATATATTGGTGGAATGTATGTATCCTCAACAACAGTGATGGGGAAGTCACCATCACACTGAGTATACACACCAACTACGGGTGCTCTTTTCCTGAAATTACTGTAAGGAAATGAATTTATCATTGTTGTAAATAATGTCAAGAACAAGAACAAGTGAATGTTATTGTTACTAACTGCGTACATTATGATTTATTATATAATTTTTTGATTTAAATATTTTTTATTTTATGATTTTGTTCAATCAAAATTCTTTCTTTATTTATATGAAAAAAAAAACCAACACAAGATTCCTTATATCGTCATTGGAGTTTAACAAAATAAGGAATCTTTAAGACTCGTATATGCGTATATGAATGCATCAGTATTTTTCCGGATGTCATAATCAAAAAAAGGTAAAATTTTCCTTTGAATTAAAACGTCGAACAAATAGGATGATCGTTTTTGCTGTTGATTTTAATACTTCTCGCAAATAAAAAAAAACCTCAGTTCATAAATATTAATATTAAGAAAAAACCCCAATTTATACTTTTTTTGTGCATCAAATTTGGTTTTGGAATATCCATTTTTGAGCAATAAGAACTACCGCTTTTCATTTTTTTGTTAAACCCATACATCTTCTCGCTAAATTTAAAACAGTAAGAATCTTGCTTAAAGTAAAAACGTGATGCCATTTTTGAATAGCCGTAACTTTACATAGGGAATTCTTTTCAATATAATAAGAATATTCATTAGAAGGCTTTATTTGGTTTAATAATGAAGTTTTGAAAATAAATGTACTTAAAAAAACGTTACACTATTCGAGATTTTAATTTTTACACCTCTCGAACTAATTTTATAGACAAATACCTCCATTTAATAACAACCTTTCTATAAGAACATTTTAGAAAAAGTTCTCATGTTCCCGACAAGGTTCTTGTATGAAGGTACGACTGTGATATATAATGTACACTTGATATCTGCGATGTCCAATGACAACAACATGTCATAAAGAAACGTTTCGCGATTTTACGTTAGTCACTACAAACAATTTAATTGGAATACGCAAAAACCTCGTTTTTAAATAATTTAAATGCTTTTAAAATTTAGTATTAATATCTCCTTCACATGTGTCATTAAGAGTTAATAATTTTAATTGATCTTTTCCTACTTTATAACACACTGGATCAATTAATCGTGTATATATATATATAAAACTCATCATCATCATATGCATGTAATATATGTAAATAATACCAATTCATATTCACCTTACCGATTTTCGTCTTCTAACTATGAAAATTAGTTGGGTCAACTTTCATTTTATTTTGCTTTTTTATTATTTGGGATAGGAATTATTTTTTTTCCCTTGTAGTTGTTTAACTACTAGCAGACAAACAAAAAATATATAAAAATATATAACATAAATGCATGATAAATAAAAATTTACTCTCTCCCATTCTTACTTGTTCTATTCAGATTTTAAAAATTTTGTTTTGCATGTGCATTATGACTCCTTTTGTTACTGTTGTTGTATAAAATGACTACACATGAGACAATTACCTGTTTTTGACAAATTTTAAATAGTATCTTTGATATACAATTATCTTACATACACTCTGCAAACCCAATTTCATAATAAAAAGAATGCCATTTGAGTCCTTATACAGTCAATAACAAATTCATGTTGAGACACATAGTGTCTCTGACAACCAAAAAGAGTCTAACATTTCAAATAACCATACATATATCAAGCTGTTATGAGGCACAAAATGCCGAAGGTTAGCATTACATAAACCTTAATCCAGAGATATGAAGCAAGAACCATATGTGTACTCATTCATTGAATTTGCAAAATATGTAAATTTTGTATACAGATAATATTAACTTTTGTATACAGACATCATATACCAAAAAATATTGGTATAAAGACTTTCCATGGGTGCTAAATATCAATATGATGACGCAAGCTCAAATACATTCTCACCATCACTCTGATATGCTTGGATGACGATGCATTCATGAACCTGTCATCACTGATCTGATGATGCAATCAATTGTCTTACACATCTTCATTTGTGTCCACTCTTCCATCCTCTTAAAAGTGATTAATGTTGATCTGGCTTATATACTAACATCTTTTCATTTGAATGTGAAAATATAATATGCATATGGTTATATATTCTTTTTCATCTATGAGGAACTCTTTGTTTATTCTTGAAAGATTTGATTAAGATAACCTCAATGTGGCAGCTTGGGCTTTTTAGGGAACGAAGGTTAGCTAACTGAAGCAAATTAAAATAAATTAATACTAATAAAAAACATATAGCATTTGATCACCAACTTAGATCATTAATAATAACTTTTCTTCATCAAACTTGATCCTCACCTAATTCTGAAACTTCTGGTGAATGATAAAGATTGCTTAACTCAATCAAACTTAAGTTGGCTAATTACATAATATTCAAGCATTTTACTTTGTCTATAATAATAATGTAATAAAATTAATTTTTAATGATAAGTAACATATTATGTTTGGTCTCCAAAACTATTTTGAAGAGGTAAAAGTCAAAACTAAAATAATATTTATCTTAAAAGCAAAAGGGATTGCTATTTCTCACCGGTGGTGATGGTCACCGCAATACTAATACTTAAAAAAAATTTATTTTTTTGAAGTATATATATATATCTCTATTTATTATAATGTGACTCATTTATATATTAACCCTTACAGACCATTGAAAATAATTTAAGTAACAATC